GAGCAATGAGCAGATGAACTGCAATGATCTGCTGAGCACTAGGATGCTGGCCAGTGTTCAACTAAACCATCAGTTCAGCTTTGGAAAGGAAGGGGTATTATTCATCCCCATATGCAGATGAGGAGAATCAGACTCAAGGCAAAGTCATTGTCCCAAGGTCATCCCATGAGGTGGCAGAAAACCAATACACTTTCTGATACCTACCTACCATAGAGCCACCAACATTTCCTTTGTGACGTTGTATCACCACCAAACTGGGTAAACCACTCTGGTAAATGCAAAGGCCAGCTAAATCCTTTGAGTTCTTCCATTTCTCTTCTGCAAGAAGACACACACACACACACACACACACACACACACACACACACACACACACAATTAGGACAGGTACTAAGTAAATTCCCTGGCCCTGGGCTAGACCTTTGGACACAACTGCCCTCATGGACACAGAGGTCAATGAAATACTCATGGAAGTGAAACAAGGTGGGAACTGAACTGATTCCAGGTGAGTTCAGGGCAGACAGCCTAACAACTGACCCACCACACCCTGTGGGATGTACAACCTTGGAATCACCTGCAAGATCATGATCAGCCCACTGCTGAGCCTTGGCCAAGTGGACTTTGAAAGTCTTTGAACCTCTTAAGCAGAAGACTGTTACAGAAGTTTTCAGCAGGCACTCACTGAAATTGTGGGAGAGTTCTTGGATGAAGGGGAAGCTGACAGAGTGACGAGTTCCATGCCAGCTCGTTTGTGGATATGTCAGCCAGATTTTTTTGGTTGGTCCCCAATGCTGAAAAGGCCAACGTTTGTTTTGTTGAAGAAAACACTCTCCAAGGTAAAGCTTCATGAAGGAAGCATCACCTGACAGGAAGTTCATTCCATTCAGGTTGGTGGAACTCTGGCCTGTTTGGTCTCCAGCTTTGGACCCTCTGAGGCTGGTCATTGACAGTTCCTGGGTTTGTTACACCAGAGGCTCTGATGTTAAGCAATAACGTCACACTCATCAAAGGTGGGGTTTGAGTACATTTCTACTTCCCCTGCACAAATAACTGTTCTGGGTAGAGCATTTTAATAAAGAGAATCATTACAGTCAAAAAGAAACAGCCACATGTTTCAAGAATAGGTTGAAAGTTTTGTTTCCTGTGATGTTTTGTAAATCCTCAATTGAAAATATGTTTATTGATTTTAGAGAAAGAGAACAAGGGAGAAAATAAGTGAAACATGGATGTGAGAGAAACACATTGACTAGTTGCCTCCTCTACAAGCCCCAACTGAGGATGCAACCCACAAACTCCTTTGGGTATAACCAATGCTCCAACCCGCTGAACCACCTGGCCAGGGCCTCTGTGAGCATACGATGAACAGGAAACTTACTCTTCTGCTGTACTTCTTCATAGTATAGTACTGATTCATGGCTCAATCCAAATTGCTCTTCACTCTATTGAGTGTCCCAAAATGGATATTAATGTTTCATTTCTAATAAACTCCAGGCCACTAAATACACTCAGAGACAAGCAAAATTAAAGCTATCAATAAAATCCTCTCAGTAGCAGCAATGACAGGGTAGCCCTACAGTGACTCTACAAAGACACTGCAACTATGTCAACACACAGGCTACTTTTACTTGTGAGGCCAGGTCACATAACTTAAAATTACTTGATGTTTTCATAAGAATTGGAAAGCTAAATCCTCTTCCTCTGACATTTCTTTTGTCTCATTTAAATCACTGATTTTCCACTCAGGGTTTTAATATTTTGTGACTCAAAATCCAATTATTGGGATGAGATTTTACTTACATCCCCTGCCCCATCACCAATTTCATTTTTTTTCATTTAGAAAATCCCTTTGCTTTCTACTTCTCTTCCACCTCCTAGGTGTTCTAACATAATTTTTCATATCAAGACTCAGTATATCTCCTTAAATACAAGTCATATTGTCCTATAATCTGCAGAGTAATTATATCCAGATAGAAAGGGAAAGAAAGCATCATGGTCTAAGTCGTAGGTTGTATACCAAATACTTCATAAATCATTCTGGCAAATAAAATGGAAAATGGTACGGTCATGACAAGCTACTGAAAAACAGTGTGGAGATTCCTCTATCACTGCATCCTTAACAGAAGGTGACAAATTCTGTTTCTGCTCCTCACTCACCTCACTGCTTCTCCTCAGCTCATTTTCCATGGTTTGACTCATCCGTAAGGCCTCTTGGGTTTTGCCCAAAATGTTGCTCAACTCTTCCAATTCTCTTTTCAAGTTGGTGCTTTCCGGGATGTGGCCTACAGAGAAAAAATAAGACCAAGTAGTTTTCTGCTGTTGACTTCATAAATCATCATGTCTTCTTGTATAATACAAAAGTCACTAAATAAGAGAACTGAGGCTAGGTGGGTTGAGACTCCTGCTGTGGAAGACACAGGTCTGACTGCAGGCTTCTCAGTAGAGTGACACACCATTGACTGGGACATTAAGATCCATCTGGCCACTGGACGTAAAGAGACTGAGGAAGAAGTGGCAGAAGGAGACAAGGAGGAGGAGAACAGTAACACAGGCAGGAGAGGACATGGTTGGGGCCCTACAGAGCCATAGAGGTGGTGAAAGTAGTCATACTTCTGTGTAAAATACACACAGATATAAAGCCATGTGTTCTTAGCAGGGAGGAATGTAGCACCTGAAGGGTTTCAGGAGTAGCTGAAAACACTCTACCCTGATACAGATAATAGATATAAGACAGCATGCCCAATAATCATTCATAATTAAATATTTATTCTATATATATGTTTTTTAAAGGAATATTATAAATGTGCAAGATTTCTGGACCAGATGGAGGCGTAGGTAGATACACCATGCTTCCCATCACAGCTAAAAGAAAACAACAATAAATGTACAGGAAAACAACCAAAACTGCCAAAAATCAAACTGCATGGAAGTTAGATAACCAAGGAGTTAAAGAAGAAAAAAACATTCACTCAGACTGCTAGAGGGCTAGAGATGGGCAGCCGAGTTGGAAGAGACACATGGTAAGGTGGCAACTATAGGATCAGTAAAGGTTGTTGCTGGGGACCTACTGGGCCCATATGCATGTGTGGATAAACTCGAAGAAACATCTAGGGAGTCCAACAGACTGCATAACCCCAGTTCTGTAGCAGGGAATGAACCTCAAATCCTCTGGCATTAAAACCTTTGGAAATGCCCTGGCTGATGTAGCTCAGTGGATTGAGTACAGGCCTGTGAAGCAAAGGGTCATGTTCGGTTCCCAGTCAGGGCACATGCCTGGGTTGCAGGCCAGGTCCCCATTAGGGGACATATGAATGGCAACCACTTATTGATGTTCTCTTACATCTTTCTCCTTCCCTCCTCTCTCTAAAAAATAATAAAATATTTAAAAAAATAAATAAATCCTTTGGAAACACTTTGGAACAGGTAGACACTCCCAGCCCTCACAAGAGAATTCATTACAGAGACCCACTGTCTCCAGGAGCAAACACAGTCCAAATGAATCAGCACCAAAGGGGCCCAATTGGCTTGTGGAAACTAAGGGAAGTGACTGAAAGGTGGCTGAGAGAAGTAAGACTGTTCAACTAACGTGCCAAAGGAGGGAAGATTGCCCCACCATGGGGAATACCTAAGATTGGACCAATTAGGAACAAATCTGAAGCATGTTGATATAAAAACTTTGGTTAAAATGAAAGAACAGACCAAAGCTCCATAAATAGAATGAAAGGATGAAGACATAACCAAGCAGAGCTCAGAATACTGGTAATGGGAGGCTCACACAAATGGTTGACCATGCTGGCCAAAATGAGGAAGAGGTGAAGGCTATGCAAAGTGAAATACAGGAGAATACATAAGGACTAAGCTGACAGGAATGTAATTAAATCAAAGTTTCAGAGCAAAAGGAAGAAGGAAATAGTCAACCACCATCAAATGAAGAAACAAGAATTAAAAAAAATGAGAGAGGCTTAGGAACCTCTGGGACACCTTGACATATTCCAACATTCCAATAGAGGTATGAGAAGAGAAGAGCAAGAAATTGAGAACTTATTTGAAAAATAATGAAGGAGAACTTCACTAATGTGACAAAGGAAATAGACTTCTAGGAAGTCCAGGAAAAACTCCAAGAGTCCCAAAGAAGGTAGACCCAAGGAAGCACTCAACAGGACACATCAAAACTACATTATCCAAGATCTGAAGGAGAAGCAGAGACTCTTAAAAGCAGAAAGTTGAAAGAGACATAGTAACCTACAAAGGAGTTCCCATAAGACCATCAGCTGATTTCTGAAAAGAAACTCCTTTCTGCAGGCAAGAAGGCTGAAAGTGGAATTCAAAGAGAGGAAAGGTGTTAGGACCTTATATCCAAGATGACTCTCTCCAGGAAAGCTATGACTTAGAAGGCAAGCATAGACAAAGTTTTTCCTAGATAAGGTCCAGTTAAAGGAGTCTATCAATTACCAAGCCCTTAATACATGAAATGTATGAGGGGATTCTTATCTAAGAAGAAGAAGATGAAACAAATATGAACAGTAAAATGATCTACAAAGCCACAACTACTACCAACTGAACCTGAAAACAAAACACACTAAGCAAACAACAAACAGAACAGAACTGCAGAAATGCAGATTACATGGAGGGTTACCAGTATGAAGGGTGGGGGAAATGGGGAAAAAGGTACAGGAATAAAGAAGAAGTACACAAATGGTAGGTACAATATAGACAGGGGGAGCTTAAGAACAGTACAGAAAATGAGAAGCCAAAGAACTGATATGTATGACCATGGACATCAACTAACGGGAGAGGGAATGAGAGAGGATATGGGGGTGCCAGTGTACAGGTGAAACAGGGGAGAAAACAAAACTGTGGATAATCAAAAATATATGTTTAAAGAGTTTGAATGTGTCTATGTTGTACATGGGACATACCCACACACACATGGGTGTACATGTAAATAAATAAAGTATTCTCAGCTGAGTAGTAATGAAGCACTTTGAGGTATGAGAGCTTACCTCTTGAAATTCCTTTTCTTTTTCCTTGAGTTTCTGTTCCAGAGAACATCTGGAACTCTCTGCATTCTGTCGCTGACAGCTCAAATCTTCAGTCAATTTTTTCAGTTTCTGTTCCAATGCAGTACACTAACAACAAATAAAAACGCACAGTGGGAAACAAAGTGTTCAAGGAAAGAAGTCATATTTATGACATTAGAAAAATCAGTCCCAAGATCTGGTTCAACTTTACCGTTGTGTGTTGACATTTTTATTCATAAAAAGTTGGGTTTAAACTATTAGCCATATAGGCAAACCACAATAACGACTTTAGTACACATAACATTGAAGGTTGGGAAATAGGAGCAAGAATAGAAAGGCTCAGAGCATTGAAATACTTCCTAATGTGCAGTGTGAAAAGAACTCGGTGTCAGAAAAATAGTTCATCCAACGTTTCCCTGCATCAGACGGATGAAAATGCTGTGATTGTCGTGGACTTTACAGGCTGTTAAATGACCAGAGGGTTCCCATTACTCCCAAGGGGCAGTCTGTTTTGAGCATAATACATTCTGTGACAAACTGTAAATATTAAAAGGCTTCTTTCTGCAGTGCTCTTGCTTTGCCATTTTAAATTTCTGGAGGTCCACAGTGCTCCACAGAATAACACACCTGGTTTTTAACCAAGCTGCCATGAGCAACACCAACAACCTTCTTGTGTCTTTTCACAGAGCCAATCTTCCTTAAAACCGTCCTTGAAGCATGAACTACATCAACATGGAGGCTGCTCTTCTCAAACTAATTGGAACCAAAGGGTCTGAAATGTTCATGTGCTAAAACCCATTCCATTCTCTCCCCTCTAGTGGCCACATCCTGAAACCACACTCACAAAACAACTGAAAACCCAGGGAGGAGTCAGAGCTGGTCCTGTGGGTGGGAGAGAACTGCCTGGTGCAGAACGAAATGTGCCCTGATTGGGCAAATCCCCCTACCAATGTCTTCTCCTGACACTCATCACGGTGCCACTGAGAACTATTACAAATAGTAGGAATAGAACAGAAAATTCACCAGAAAAGACAACACTATGTCATGACTTGCCAGAATATGAGTCAAACACCCATCATTAACTAAAGCAAAGATTAAAAGAGCAGAGCTGGTCATAAATGACTACATGGTTATAGACATATCAGAAATTTTAAAATGTCAGTTCAAAATGTAAAATATTAACCCAGTGGTTCACATTAATGTCCACTGCCTTGGATGTTAAGACACCTTTGTCAGTATCCTTCATTTTCTTCCATTTCAAATCACCACGGAAAAGTAGTACAACAAATTATTTGTAATAGGCATGAATTCGGTAAACATTGATTGTATGCCTGCTAGATGTCCAACAATGTGCTAGGTCCTGGGGATACGGCAGTAAACCATTCTGATGAAAATCATCGCCCACTTAGAGCAGAATTTGGGATGTCAGCCAATGTCAGGGGGAAAAACCCACACATGGTGTGGTATATGAATGAGCTCTTGGCCCCCCCTGCTGGCCCCTCTTCAAACTGCAAGTCATTCCGTGAAAGGATCTCAGAATCAACAATTTGTTCTTCCTACAAACAGTGGGTTAATTGAAATCTTTCAGGAGGTTGTATTTAGACTTGATTTAAAATGTAAAAAATGACATTCTGACATTGATGGTGCACAATGATGTCAGAGTAGCTCACCACTAGGTGTCATCATGTGCCATCACATTCTAAAAGGCTGTCTAGGGCTCAAGTCCAGGACCTATGCAGCACAGGACCCTGGCACTCAGCGTTCTGGGCCCGAGGTTGTCACCTATACACTGTGGGTGTTGAACTCCAGGCTTGCTGCAAGCCCTAAGACTTTGTTTCTATGTGACTTCAACAGCTTTGTGTCCCCCATGGCTCATAAATGCTTGGGAAAGAAGCATACCAGACCCTGCCGATGTTCACTGAAGAACATGGCATTGACATTGCTTCTGTGAGCTCCATTTCACTTAACACGTGGTTCTCATGGTAGTTCAGGGAAGAGCATAAACAGTGCACAACTTCACTTCAGAAACAGATTTGACCAGGACATACTGTCCTTGCAGGCAAGACAGGGGAAGGTAGAGCGAATTTGTAGTTAGGTGGATTATAGCTCAGGGACAAATGAACTTATGAAGCACTGAATGAACAAGTTTGAAGAACCTGGAGGGATGCCTAAGAGAAAGAAAGCAGAGCTGTGGTCTCAGCACTCAGCACTGTCCTACTCAAATATTAGGATTCATGATGCAGTCGGAAGAGACTTCAGCAGGTATGTGAGCTAGAACAGAGAGTCAATGTTCTTGTCACATGGAACCACCAACACAAAATGGGAAAGGGTAAGTATGATTTCTGTCCAGAGTAAGGACTTAGCTGGCAGGAATGCAACTGAAAATGAGCTTACTGGACAAAGAGGTCAGTGTAACAGTAACTACTAACATCAATATAAGTTCATCTGTTCCAAGCACTATGTTAAGCCTTCTTGGAAATTACTGCAATCTCTACAACAACCCTATGACACAGGCTTCGTTAACATCATTTTATTGATTAGGCAACTGCGGCTCAGAACACCACATGACTTGGATGTAGCTCTAAGAAGCAATACAACTGGGATGTGGGAGAGCCAGAAGTCAAATCCAAGTCTTTTTCACTTGGAAAACCAAGTCAGACTGTACAAGACAATACACATATTGATCAAGGCCGGCCATGGTCCCTTTGACCCTCCATTGCACCCTCATTTATCTGATAGGTACTTGTCAAGAATTCCTCTGTGCAAAGCATTGCACTAGCAGAATGCCTGGAGATGAACCCAGAATACCACACCCAGAGAGACAAAATAGATGCACATTTTCCTATTCCTCTCAGCAAGAACAACTAGAAATTCTGGCCATTCTATCAAAACAGGCATAAGCAAGCTCTAAAAGGAGAGGACACTGACAGACTGTGGACTTGGGACCTGGGGGGGATCTTTATGGATACTAATAATACCCTGAGGCAATACCTTCCAGGAATGCCCAGGAAAGCAAGACATTCTCAGAGAAGGGAAAACTAAGACCATCTGTGGCCGAACAGAATAGTTAAAGCATGTTCTCTAAACAGGAAATGATGAAAGGAAGAAATTGGAAAGAATTGGGAAAGAAGAGGAAGGGAGTATATATCAATATTATAGGCTTTCCTTCCCTTCTTAAGTTTTCTCAACTGTGTTTGACAGTTGAAGTCAAAGTAAAAATGTTGTCTGATACAATTCTCTACACATATATGTGGAGAAAACACTTGAAATTTCATTAGAAATAGAGTAAGATAACAAATGAATAGATGAGTACACTTTCTATAATTTATTAGAGTAGGTAGAATGACAGTAATAATAGACTATGATAAGCTGTGTGTACTCATGATGGAATGTCTAGAAAATCACTGTAAAGGTCTACAAAAAGTACATTCAAAGACGCTATAGCTAAACAAGTATGGAAGTTCAAAAGTAGCCCTCAGGAAAGCAGGAAGAAAGAAAACAGATGGAAAATGAAAAGAAATAGAAAACAAAATATAAGAAGGCTGACTTCAACATGGACTACCAATGATTACATTACAGGCAAACAGTCTCAATTCACTAATGAAAAGAAAGATAGTCAAAGGGTGGATTCAAAAGCTAGCCAAATGTGTACCGTCTACATCAAACTAACTTCAAGTATAATAATATAAATAGGCTGATGGTAAACAGACAGAAAGAAATATATGACAGCAACATTAATCAACGTAAAGCCAAAGTGGCTATATTACTATCAGATAAGGTAGATTTCAGAATACAAGAAATTACCACAGACACCAAGTGTGCTATGTAAGGGTCAATCCACCCAGAGGACATAGCAATCTGAAATGTATATGCACCTAACAATGGAGCTACAAAGTATGGGAAGGAAAAGCTTATAAAACTGAAAAGAGAAAAAACAACAAATGAACAATTACGGGGTGCTTTCAACGTCCTGTCTCAACAATTGATAGACCTAGACAGAAAATCAGCAAGGGTTTAGAATTCAACAATAGCATCAAACAACAGGAGATAATGTGTATTAGAACACTTGACCCAAAGACAACATGCGTTGTTTTCCAAGTGCCCATGAAACATATATCAAGATAGGCCATATCCTGGGCCATAAAACAAACCTCAACAAATTGTAAAGATTGGAGATCCTAGAGTATGTTCTCTGGACATAATGGAGTCAAAAGAAAAATCGTTTACTGGAAAGAGGAAAATCTCCAAATACTTGGAAGCTAAACAAATGATTTCTAAAGAATACACAGGTCCAAGGAAAAAAACGTGAAATGCTTTGAACTGGACAAAAAGTAAAATACAATATATCCAAATTGTAGAACACAGTTAAAGCAGTACTGAGAGGGAAATTGATAGCATTAAATGCCTCCATGAAAAAAGAAGAAAAGTCTCACATTAACCATCTAAATATGCCACCACAAAAACCTAGAAAAACAAGAAGAAAATAACCCAAAGCAAGCAAATGAAAATAATCAAACAAAAAGCAATGACACTGAAAACAGAAAAGTAAGAGAAGCAATGAACCAAAGAGCTGATTGGTAGAAAAACTCAACGAAAGAACAATGAAACTGGCAAATCTCCAAGAAAACTGACAATAAGAAAACACAGGAGACACAAATGCCAGCATACCACCCAACACACAGGCATCAAAGAATAAAGAAAAACTGCCACATACCTGAATTTGAAAATGTAGGCAAAATGAACGAGTTCCCTCTAGAAACCAGAACTATCCCAACTCATTCCATATGAAATGTCATTTTAATAGCGATGGCTATATTTTAAAGTTGAATTTGTCATTTTAAAACTCTCAAAAGAGGGATCTGCAGGCCTACATGGTTTCATGGAGAATTCTACAAAATGTATAAACAAGTAACAGCCCTGGCTGGTGTGGCTCAGTAGACTGAGCGCCGGCCTGAGAACTGAAGGGTCTGGGTTGCACGTAGGGTCCCCAGTCGGGGGTGCGTGAGAGGCCGCCACATATGTTTCTCTCCCTCTTTCTGCTCCCCTTCCCCTCTCTAAACATAAATACATAAATACATAACAAATAAATAAAAAGAAATAACACAAATTCTACACAATCTCTTAAAAATAGAGAAGAGGAAGAAATGCGTCCCAGTTCATTTTATGGAGTTAATATTATTATAATTATCTCTGAAACAAATACCAAACACAGTACAAAAAAAGAAAATAGCTGACCGATATCCCTCGTGAATATAGACACAAAAATCCTTAATGAATTACTAGCAAATAAAATTCAGAACTATAACAAAAGAATTATACACCATGGCAAGAAGTGCTTCTTCCAAGGATGCAAAGGTCATGCAAAGATTTTAAAAGCAATAGTGACAAGGCATTATTTCCTAAAACTAAGCAGGGCTCTTCAATTCCCTTAAAATGTAAAAGATTATCTTGTTTACAAGACAGAGAGACTCTGCCCACAAGAAATCAATTGGACATAGAGGCAGGTGTAGATACTACATTGGTTTTTATCTTCTGCCTCAGAAATGTCTAGAGTTTATTAGAAGTCCATTTTTAAGGCTGGCAGGATTAAGTCTGCAAGTTTCTCTGTGATTCTAACAATGAGCCAAGGGTGGGAACCCCACAAACAAGGGGATGCCTACAGAGAAGATCTCACTGTATCAAGAGCAGAGGGAAGGAGCTCACAGGAAGAGAAGCATGGCCAGGGCATTGCAGGAGAGTGTGCCAAGGAGAAGGAGCCTGGGCTCAGAGAGAGATTAGGTTCAGGAGACATCCAGTAAGTAGGGGTGGTCCTAGAAGATAATCTCTTTACCCCACCCTGCACTCGTCCTCAATACACCATGCTTTCTGTGACCTCTATATCAGTGTCCCACCCCCATTAGGATGAAATTCCATGAGGGCAATGACTGTTGTCTGATCCCTCACTGCTCCATCCCCAGGTCTAGAAGAGGGCCTGACACATTCAGCAGCCTACGTGTGTTTGACAAATGAGTCCATGAACAAATGAATAAGGAATATAGAAGAGCAGAGAGATGGGTAAAGGCTGAAGCAGCAAACCATTCCCCCCACCCACCCCCTAAAATAACCCTCCAATAACAGGCCTTCCTTGCAGCTTTAAGATTCAATGGATACCGGATCTCAAGAGTAGATCAACTGACTATATTCTATCACAATTCCTAAACATCTTTTAAAGCTCCATGACTCCAAGTCTCTTCTTCTATGGGCCAGAAAATATGCCGGGTGCTGCATATCCATGACCTTTCATCTTCACCCTCTGAGATGTCAGAGGTGAGGTATCTGCTTAAGTCCCTTGGCTGGGAAATGTGCAGTCCAGGACTGACCCCTCATCTCCCCAGCTCTAAAAGAACTTACTAGTTCTATGGCACCAATACTGCCTGGAATAAATGAAGAAGGTTCATTACACCGTTTGCCTAATCAATTTAAGCATTGAGTATGGTTTCCCAGCAACTGCATGGACAGAAGTGGAGATTTTGCAAAAACTCGGGAAAAGTCAAGTACCTTGGCTGATGCCTGGTCATACTGTGCTGTCAGTTCAGCCCTACTTTTGTTCCAAACTTTCTCTTTTTCATTTAGTTCCATTTTTGCTTTCTCTAGTTGGAGCTGCAGTTCTCGACACTGATTCACTTGGATTTTCATTTCTTTTTCTTGTCCTTGGAGTTGCAGTTCCAACTCGTCAATCTTGCTCCTTAGCTCTTAAGTCACAAACAAAACCCACACTTCGATTAACGTCTACTTATCACAAAAAAATTTACAACTAAATTCAGAATATATTATTTATGTTACTACACTCTGAAATCTTTGATCACACAAAAAGAAGTCAATGCACATTAAACACAGGAGCTACTTTAACTGCATTTAATTTCAATGTTCAGTCTTCATTATTATTTATACTCAAATGTCCTGTAGAAAGCAGGAGAAACCAATTTTCTTGTTATCACCAAAAACTCGGGGAAGAAAATGCCTTCCTAAAATTGTGAATAGTATCAAATTGAGGCTGCAAAAAGTGGTAATGTCCTATTAAAACCTTTATAACAATCACCGCTTAGTTTTACACACTGGCAGACTAATCCTTGTTTTGTGCTGACATCAAAGCAAACAAGAGATGAGCAGTGAAAACTTCACCCTCCCACATCTCCCAGCAGCTTTATCTCCAGTCAAGTTCAAGGCAGTATGAACCTTCTCTACTGCCAAAGTTCACCACACCTTTTTCTAGATGTTCCCACCACATACACACAATATTGGTCCCAATGCTACTGGCAGTGGGGGAGTTCTCAGTGGTGAACACCGATGGTCATTTTGGATATATCATAGCACTGGAAATGATCCTAGTCTGCAGAGTAGAGTCCAAACCACCACCTGGTACCCTTGGCTGTCAGCTGCAGCCTGGGACAGTGGCCAAGGTCACACAGGTTTGCTCCCGTATGGATAAGCTGGCTGCACAGAGCATAGCTCTTCTGCACACACATGCCACACCTCTGGCCCAAAGTGGCCAAACACAGGCTTGTTTCATGGGGTGCAGAAGGAGGCAGAAGAGAAGGGTGAGGACTGTCAACTGTAACCAAGCTACTCACCCTGCTTCTGGAAGGAGAAGTCAAAGGCATTCATCCTTCCTTTGAAAGCTTCAAGGTCCCAGCTTATCAGGACAAATCAAGGTACCCTCTAAAATGGTGATAGCTTTTCTCATTCTCAAAAATGCAGTATTTCCGCATCACCAGCCTGGGGTGCTGACCACAGATTGGCTAATAAAACCCATAAGCACTTTCCAGGACTACAAATGCCTGGAATGACTTCTCGAATTATCTCAGGAAAATGTAAACCTGGCTGAGCACAAAACATTACCTTGACTCTGGCCATTTCGGTGATCCAAATGTTGAGAACTGCTAGAATTATCACAGAAGCTGCTATCAGCACCTCTTCGCCCGACTTGCAAAGTTGATCTACTACTTGGAGTGGCTTCTTGATCCCCGGAAAAGTGAGACGCAGAGAAACCTCTCCTAATGGGAGTCTGTAGAGCATTGGAAGAAAGACGACTTGGGGTCTTTTCTTGTTGCCATGGGAACACAGAGGACGAGGCCTGGTGTCTCGCGATGTCCCGGTGATTCATGGTGTTTTGTGGAATAACCTGGCTCGCTTTCTATAAAGACAGAAACTCTTTAGCGCCCTTTAGAAATCATAGTATTCAAGACTCTTTCCAAGTAGAACATAAAGCCATATCAACAGGTTAGCATTCCCACTGGGTACCAGGAAAGAATGGTCATGAAGTCAAGGGAACTATTATGTCCCAAGGCCCAGTGATATTTTCTTAGGGTCACACTTCAGCACTGAAGGGTTAAGCCAGTACCGCTGAGGCCCAGACTGTTCCATGTGGGCTCAGTTTTTGCATTTACTCCACATCCCTCCAATACTCCATTAAACACGTGAGTGCCATTTTGAATCATGAAATTTGACTTTCCTTTGCTGGTCCTTTGTCACCACCAACACCCCACCCTCCACCATGGCTTCAGGCAAAGAAAATCAAAATTCAATGTCAGCCCTGGCTGGTGTGGCTCAATGGCCTGGGTTCCAGCCTGGGAATTGAAAGGTCACTGCTCCAATTCACAGTCAGGGCACGTGCCTGGGTTGCAGGCACGCTAGTAAACCGATCGCTCTGTCTCACACACGTAGGTTTTTCTCCCTGGCTTTCTCCCTCCCTTATCCTCTCTCCAGAAGTAAATGAATGAAATCTTTTTTAAAAAATGTTCAATATTAACCTAAAGAACTCTTTCAAGAATATCACTTTCCACCATACCACATGCCCCCAAAATTTCCCATAAGGTATCTTATGTTACATAATAGACATTTGTGGCTTTTCTAATGCCTTGAATTCTTCTCTTTTTCTTTCCACCTGCATTCTGACAAGACGTGGCTGCAGGTGCTCCATCTCATTCTTTACCCAAGTGCTTTTCCTGCCACAGGGAGAGGTTTCATGCTTACGGACTCACATTCCTCCACTAAATAACTCTGGGAACCAAGGTCAGGGGCAGAACTGGTACAAATGACTGAACTGGAAAACAAAGCACCAGGTATTTCTAGGAAGAACTAGGGAGTTATTGTTTAATTTTTCTTCATCTCAATAGGCAATGCCTTTGTCATCCATGAAAATCCCGGTGACCCTAGAACAAGGGTTCAAGGCACAAAAGGAATTAAAATTGTTCAATCTCTAATGCGGGATTTTGAGCCCCAATATTTAACATATCTATTTATGAACTCAGCCTTCCACTCTTTGTGAAATTGTGCCATCTTATCAAGTTCTTGTTTAGTGGAAAAACACCATTAAAGCCCAAACGGATTTTTTTAAACAAATAATAACATGGGAGCAAAAATGTAAAGGAAAATTCTATAGATACCAGGTATTTTCAGAGTCAGTCCCTAAGCTAGAAGGAGGGGCATCTAAAGTATGCATTTTGTAGCCCTGGCTGGTGTAGCTCAGTGGATTGAGCACGAGCCTGCGAACCAGAAGATTGTGGTTCAATTCCCAGTCAGGGCACATGCCTGGCTTGCAGGCCAGTTCCCAGCAGGGGATGCACAAGAGGCAACCATACATTGATGTTTCTTTTCCTCTCTCCTTCCCTTCCCCTCTAAAGATAAATAAATAAAATTTTTAAAAACTTAACTTAAAAAAATTTTTTTAATTAAAATAAAATATGCATTTTGTTTATTTTGTTGACATTAAACAAATATCTTTATCTACCTCTCTCTGCTCATTTGTACACATCAAAACAGAGTTTAAAACCCCTGCCAGCAACTTACTTAAGAGAATTGGGGGGATGATTGGGATAAGGGAATCTCCCCACTCTATTTTACTCACTCATTGCCTCTTTATTCAATTAAGAAATATCATACCCAGCCCTGGCCGGGTGGCTCAGGTGATTGGAGCACCGTCCCATTCGCACCAAAAAGTTGCAGGTTCAATTCCCGGTCAGGGCACATACCTGGGCTGGGGGTGTTTTATCCTGGTCAGGGTATATTGGAGAGCAACAGATGGAGAGAATGAGGGAGGACCAGAGGGAGGGAGGGAGGGAGGAAGGAAGGAAGGAAGGAAGGAAGGAAGGAAGGAAGGAAGGAAGGGAGGGAGGGAGGGAGGGAGGGAGGGAGGGAGGAAGGAAAGAAAGAAAGGAGGGAGGAAATATAACCAATGTACGAGGAACTTTATTTCTTCAGTGTAGGGAAAATGCACCAGCTCTAGGTCAAGCAGATTTTTCTCTCCTGCTGTCGTAGCCTGTATGAAAGCACTTTCTCAAATGCACACTGCTATAAGACCTCTAATTAACTTACTTTTGCCTGCAAGGCTTTCACCTCTGCCTCTAATCTTTTCCGTTCTTCAACTTCTTTATTATATTTTTCTTTTAGATCTTCATATTTGGAACCTAAACACAGACGAGGAGATACAGATTTACTTTGATCACTGACTTTGTCAACTCACAGATCAATCATTACAATAGGCAGTTCAGAAATGAGTATCTTAGTACAGCAGAAAGAACACTTCCATCAGGGCAACAGATATTGATCAAATTCTTCAAAGACCAAAATCCATGAAAACACGGGTGTTTTGAATGTTCAGAAACGGAATTCTTTTTGAAACACACCACGGAAGGAAAAAGTAAAAAGTGCAGGCTGGCCAATAAGTCTGCTTCTTTGAATGAGTTTCTGCAGAAATTCGGAAAAGCCTGGCAAGTGTAGATACTGAAGTCATTCAGTCCTTGAAAATGGCTACAAGGCAGTTTCATGGTGGGATGCATTTTCCCAAGACATGAGCTAAATTTTGAAAGCTTCCCTAGAACTGGTCCACATAACTTGGTGGAACTTCCAAATGTAAATAAAAAAAAAATTGAGTGAAAACTAGAGTCTTACTAACCTGATGGCTCAATAGAGTTCAACAGATGTACCAATGTACAGGTTACAGCAAGTAGTTGCATTTTGTGAGTGCTCAGAGTAGAAACTGAATTCAAAGCTGAATTAATTCATTTCTTTGTCAGAACAGCAATCTCACTAGAAGAACTATGGATATGAAGGGGAAAACTGCTTACCGCTGTAATACTGACTTGGTGTTATTGGAGTTGTAAACAGCTTTTGCGGTGTGTTACATGCACTCCCAGAGACATCTGCAGGCCGTGCAGCTTTCTGGCTTCTTTCAAGTTCGGATTTACAGCTGTTAGAAAAGGACACGAGAGGATGCCCAATCAAAGCAAAGCCACAGAATAGCAACACCATACTGTTCCCAGAGAGGTATAAGCTTACAAGACTCACCATGTCAGAACTCTTAGCACTTCATTTACCCAATACACATGTGACAGACATAAAGTCAGTGACTTGTCTTTAAAGGGACTTAGGATACTTAGGAAAACAGAAATAAACCAATAATTACAATGTCATGAAGGCGATAATGAGCACCTCTAATAACCACACAGAGTGCAAGAAAGAATTGGAAGGTTGGGGATATATTCCAAGTACATGTTATATTCTAATCCAAAGAGAGAGAAAGAAATATAAAAGAACTCAGAACTTCAGAAACATAGGGAAAATCTGGTATCTCTGAAGCATGGGCTAAAAAAAAATCACAAAATCGGATGGCATTACTTCTGTTATTAAGTCACAACAAAGCACAGACTTTATCTATGTACCATGTGATTTATGATATTTGTTTCCTTACTTATTTGTTTTGTGTATGTGTACAGGTAACATTTTTAAAACACATATATAAGAATCAAGTTAACATAATGCGTAAATATTTGGCTGAAAACGGCTACAAAGGAATGGGGAAAGTAAGCTACATATTGCATATATGTACAAAATATCCCTACCACTCAAGTTCTGAACACCTTTCAGAATCAAACAGCCTAGAAGATTTCATTCTTACACGTCTCTAATGTCTGACTTTAGCTCAATGCAGAAATATAACAAGCACCCTGTTAGAATGGCTAACGTGCACCATTCTAAGGAGAATGGACGCAGGTCACGGACGCAGTCCTCCCAGGAGAGAGTGAAGACAGCGCCTGAGTGCCCCAGCTTCCCCCAGCCCCAAATTCAATGGCAGAAGAAGCAATGCATGGGCTGGAAATGACTACTCAGCGAACCAAAGCATCACATTGGAGCTCATAGTAGGTAACAGTACTGTCCAATAAAAATGTTCTAGTGACATGAAAAAAGTAACAAGACATATGGGAATTTCACCTTAATATTTAATTTGAAGTTTTCAAAATATTGTCATTTATTTCAGCTTTTAATTAATAAATGCTTTGTTATTTGCTTTTTACTGACTCTTCAGAATTTTGTGCGCATCTCAATTTGCATGGCCACTTCAAGGGTGCAACGGCCACCTGTGGCCAGCAGCTGCCATGTTGGACAGCGGAGGTCCAGACCGCCAAACCCGTCATTCTACAGGTGAATTGTATTTTGTTTTTATTATATTTTATTGATTATGCTGTGACAGTTGTCCCATTTTTTCCCACCTTTATTCCCCTCCACCCAGCACCCCGTCCCACCTGCATCCCCCCACCTTAGTTCATGTCCATGGGCCACACCTTAAGTTCTTTGGCTTCTACATTTCCTATATTATTCTTAACCTTCCCCTGTCTATTTTGTACCCACCATTTATGCTTTTTATTCTCTGTACTTTTTCCCCTATTCTCCCACCCCCTACCCACAGATAACCTTCCACGTGATCTCCATTTCTATGATTCTGTTGCTGTTCTATTCGTCTGCTTAGTTCATTTTTGTTTTTGTTCTTTTTTTAGGTTCAGTTGTTGATAGTTTTGAGTTTGTTATCATTTTACTGTTCATACTTTTGATATTCTTCTTTTTCCTAGATAAGGAAATGCAACCCTTTAGCATTTCATATAATAAGGGCTTGGTCATAAAGAACTCCTTTCACTTGACCTTATCTGGGAAGCACTTTATCTGCCCTTCCATTCTAAATGAATAGCTTTACTGGATAGAGTAATCTTGGATGTAGGTCCTTGCCTTTCATGACTTTGAATACTTCTTTCCAGGCCCTTCATGCTGGCAAGTTTTGTTTTGAGAAATCAGCTGACAGTTTTAGGGCACTCTTTTGTAGATAACCGTCTCCTTTTCTCTTGTTGCTTTTAAGATTCTCTCCTCCACTGGCTGGTGTAGCTCAGTGGATTGAGTGCTGGCGTGTGAACCAAAGGGTCACTGGTTTGATTCCCAGTCTTGGGTACATGCCTGGGTTGCGGGGCAGGTCCACTGGAAGAAGGCACATGAGAAGCAACCACACATTGATGTTTCTCCCCTCACTTTAAAAATAAATAAATAAATAGAATCTTTAAAAAAATTCTCTCATCTTTAATCTTAGGTAATATAATTATGATGTGCCTTGGTGTGTGCTTCCTTGGGTCCAACTTCTTTGGGACTCTGAGTTTCCTGGGCTTGCTGGAAGTGTATTTCCTTTGCAAGATTGAGGAAGTTCTCCTTCATTATATTTTCAAGTAAGTTTTCAATTTCTTGTTCTTCCTCTTCTTCTGGTACCCCTATAATTCGGACGTTGGAATGGTTAAAGTTGTCCTGGAGTTTCCTAAGCCTTTCTTCATTTTTTTAAAATGTTTCTTCATTCCATTCTGGTTGAATGTTTATCTCTTCCTTTTGCTCCAAATAGTTGATCTGAGTCCTGGTTTCCTTCCCTTCACTGCTGGTTCCCTGTATATTTTCCTTTATTTTACTTAGCATAGCCTTCACTTCTTCCTCTATTTTGCAACCATACTCAACCATTTCTGTGAGCATCCTGATTACTGGTGTTTTGAACTCTGCATCTGATAGGTTGGCTATCTCTTCATCACTTAGTTCTTTTCCTGAAGTTTTGATTTCTTTCATTTGGACCATATTTTTTGGTTTTGCAGCACCAATTACATTGAGAAGTGGAGCCTAAATGTTCACCAGGGTGGGGCAACCCTTGTTGCTGCATTGTGATGCTGCACATGGGGGAGGGGTCCGAGAGGGAACAATGGCACTTGCTCTGCTCTCTGCCAGTTTTCAGTCACTTGCCCCACTACCCACAATTAAATTGGGCCCTTCTGGTGCTGATTTCCTGGTTGGTGGGTTTATGTACATTCTAGGACCCAGAGGGCCTCTCCAACCAACTCTCCTGAGAGGCTGGAATTTTACCCTGCCACCACAACCTCTACAGGTTTTTACATCTAGAGGTTTTGAGGCTTTCTTTTCCCATGATGGAACCCTGGGTTGTGCCATCTGGCTCCCCAGTTGTTCCTCCCAGTTCATCTGGATACAAATGTGGGACCACCAGCCACTGCATCATCTCCCCCCCCAGGTCCTCTAGCTGCCGTCTTGCCATGTGTCATCTCCAGCCAGGGGCCCATCTCTGTCCCTCCCACCTGTTTAAATGAATGTTTCTTCAACTCCTTGGTTGTTGGACTTCCACACAGCTCAATTTTCTGCAATTCTGGTTGTTTATTGTTTTTGAATTTGTTGTTGTCCTCCTTCTGGTTGTGTGAGGAGGCAAAGTGTATACACGTATGCCTCCATCTTGGTTAGAAGTCTTGCAAATGAATTTCGAAGAGTCTTGCATAATCAATGTTTCTTTTCCCTTTCAAAATTCAGCTCTTATCCCCCTTTCCCTATTTTTCATTAAAAAAATAAAATTATTATTTTATTTTAAATGTATTATTAAACAGCTTATTATTATTTTAAATAATAAATAAAAGTATGTGCTGGCTGGTATAGCTCAGTGGATTGAGTGCAGGCCTGGGAACTAAAGGATCTCCATTCGATTCCCATTCAGGGCACATGCCTGGCTTGTAGGCCAGTTCCCAGCAGGGGACACACAAGAGGCAACCACACATTGATATTTCTCTCCCTCTCTCCTTCCCTTCCCCTCTAAAGATAAATAAATAAAATCTTTTAAAAAATGGTAAAAAATAATACAATAAATAAATAAATAAAAGTATATATCGCTATCTTTTTTTAATAAACATTTGTTTCTCTTTTCTCTCAGGAACAAAGACACAAACCACTACCACCAAAAAAGCACTAAAAGAAGCTGTTTTACACTAGGTTTGTGTCTTTATACTAGGTTAGGTTTATACTAGGTTTGGCAACATGAGGCTGCCAAAATCAACAGCTTTTGATCAACCTTTCAAATGGTCCAACCGAATTTGGTTGACACATCCCTGAAACGTTGTCAGTGGCTACTGATGGAGAAAAGAAGCTCCTGCTCTGCATGGAAGGTTATCCGGGAGAACTTCAACTCTATACTCAACAGTTTTTGTGGTCTCGTTTTTATACTCTTGAACAGTTCTTACACTCAAGACAGCTATGCTCTTAATAGTTATTATAGCCTGAAGTTTATATAGCTGATAAACTTTTAGAAACATTTATATCCACATTAGAAAATAGAAATATATTTCAAACTGAATGTGCTACAGGGGTATCCTAACCTCATGACGATGGTGACAATGGAAAACATCAATACTAGTAATGCTGACATTTCACCATTGCTCTGTGCCATGTAAGGAAAGCACTGTGCGGTGTAAATCTCACCAAGTATTACTACTAAATGGCACTTTGCAATGAAATATAGGAATGTATACAAAAGTGTCCTGTCCAAATATGTTAAAAATACAAACGTTTCTGAATAAGTTAATGAAACTAGTACTGCTAAAACCAGCAGCCAAAATATGCTTTCCAAAGAAATGAATATTTCGGCATACTGGGTGAGATTCCCACTTCCCTCGCACCTGTTTTTCAAAATGAATGACTATTATTCACTCATTCCACAAATATTTCAGGACCTACAATTGTCAGCTGCTGAGAATACAGTGACAAACAAGATAGACGAGGTCCCTGCTCTCATGGAATGTGACAGGGCAGACAATTAACAAGAAAACACAACACTCCACAAGATACAAGTTGATTCCTAACATGCAACTGACAGATAGCCACCTTCCTACATGGAGAGCAAACAAAATAGGAAAAAGATCTCTGAGCCTAGGAAAGCACCAAGTAAATGCAGTGTGGAATCCTAGGTCAGATCCTGGCACAGAAAAAAGACATTACTGGAAAAACTATTCAAATTCTAATCAAGTCTGCAGTTAACAGCATGAATCAATGTTTATTTCTGCTTTGGTCATTGTACTTTGGTTATATAAGATGTGAACAGGTGTTTCTGTAAGTCTACTGTTATTTAAAGTACCCTTTATCAAATTTATGGCAGTGCATTTGCAGACTCCACAATGGAATGATTTCCTAAAGTACTTTTTGCTTTTAGCTTCTATCATTCCCATTATTTGGACAAAACTGCTCTCTGAGAACAAGAAGATACCATTCATAAATGAGCAGTGTTTAGGCCCCATTGACTATATTTTGATAATGCCTCTAGTGTTTTGTAAGTGGAAAAGTGGTAATAAGCACTTTTTTATTGCTCCAACAGGACACTGAAATTGGCCAATTGACTAAGGAATGCTTAAGCTCCCTCTCAGATGGAAATCTCAGGAGGAACCTCTTCTGGACTTTGCTTCCCTCCCTCCATCTCCAGCTCAGATGCCACCACCCAGGACTTTAATCACCCTCTTCCCAATATCCTCAATCATTCCATGTCTTCTGTCCCACTACCCTGGCCAAATACAATCCTAAATCAACACTGCTGCTCACCTTCTCAGCACTTATGTCTCAAACGCTAAAGAAAAATAAATCGTACAGCTCTGTAGATGGGCCCCACTACAAATTCCTTCCTGGTCTCCAACCTCAAAAGCATTGAAGACAGTTCTGGTATCATTTACTGTGATATCACACAGCAGCACAATGCTGGTTCATGAAACTTAGTGAACATAGAATGAATGAATGAAGTGAGCAACCACTCAACGAATTTCTATAGCACTGAGTTATGCACTGATAGGAATTGAGTATGTCAGAATCAATTTTCCATAGATCATTAAATTTTCCACTGGAAAAAATATAACAATGTATAATAATTACATCATTCAAGGAAAAAATGAATGTATCTTATGAATGTATACACAGATATTCATTTAAACACCATTTGAACAATTACCTTTTAAGTTCCTGTTCCAATTTCTCTATTTGTTTTTTGGTTGAACTCAACTGTCCTTCTTGCAAATTCACTTGTGCTTCCTTGACTTGAAGTTCATGAGAAATCTTCTGCTTAGCCTTCTCCAGGTTTTCACATATTTCCATCAAGCTTTGATTCTCCTTCTTTAGGTTTGTAGCCTCCGTTTTTTCATTCTCAACCTTGTGGGGGTTATTCAAAAGGAAGGAGTTCTCTTAGTTCATGAATTTACCAGGTATTATTTGTAAAACTTGGCTGAACATGGATGACGGATTTTCTGAGAGAGGGCTGTAATCGCCCAGATATCAATGCCTGCTGAATGCAGATATTTCTAGGAAATATCTCACTTTAAAGTCTCTAAGAAACTTTTCTCTAGAGAGACAAGTTCTAGAAAGTCACGTCTTGTTTATCTTTGCTCAGGCCTATACATACCCATGGTAGAAAGAGAGGCTTCAGTATGCTTTCGAGAATTAAGAAGTAAATGAAAATAAGCCTTGTAAATCTCTCTTCCCAGCTCATTTTCAAGTTGGACTGCTAAAGCCAGTACTTGTAAGGAACTGGGAAACCCTCCCACTAGCAAAGACCTTTCAGAAGCAGTGACTGTATCACTACTATACTGGTTCATGAAGTGATAAGAAGGAATCACTGTTGAAGTTTTCCTTTACCAGTCCTGAAGAGATGCGGTCTGGGGATATGAAAGTGATTAGCCCACTCTCAAAAACCGACAGCCATTTGGACCACAAAGTGTTCTATATTGTCCGTCCCCCAATCCAATACTAGCAGGTAAGCAGAAGGGAGGACAGAGGATGAAAAAACAAGGCAAATGAAATTAAATGTCTCAAAAAAAACCCCTGACCAGTGTGGCTCAGTTGGTTGAGCATTGTCCTTCAAAGCAAAAGGTCCCAGGTTTGATTCCTGATCAGGGTACATGCCTGGCTTGTGGTTTCTCTCCCTGGTCAGGCCACATACAAGACACAATCTATGTTTATCTCTCACATCCATGTTTTTCTCCTTCTCTTTCTTCCTCCCTTCCCCTCTCTCGAGAAATAAATAAATAAAATCTATTTTTTAAAAAAGGAGACAGATCTTTACCACCTAAAGATAGCAAATCCATTTTTCTCTAAATTGAACAGGCCAAGGTGAAATAATTCAGGCAAAGAATGAGTGGACCCTGCTGGGATTATATCCTAAGAACCTTAAAACACCGATCCAAAAAAACCTATGCACTCCAATGTTCACAGCAGCACAATTTACAATAGCCAAGAGCTAGAAGCAACCTAGGTGCCCGTCAGTAAATGAATGGATCAAAAAATTATGGTACATATACACAATGGAATTCTATGCAGCAGAAAGGAAGAAGGAGCTCCTACCCTTTGCAACAACATGGATGGAACTGGAAAGCATTATGCTGAGTGAAATAGGCCAGGGGTTGAAAAACAAATACCATATGATCTCACCTTTAACAGGAAGCTAAACAACGAAACAAACAAGCAAGCAAAATAAAAACAAAGACACTGAAATAGAGAACAGGGGGACAGTGACCAGAGGGGATAAGGGAGCGAATTTCAGGGGAAAAAGGGGAAGTATTTACAGGAACTAGGATAAAGGACACATGGACAACAACTAAGGGAGGTGGAAATGAGAGGGAGGTGGGGAGCACTGAGGGGGTGGGCTGGGATGGGAGTAAAAGACAGAAAGCTTTACTTGAACGATAATTAAATAAAAAAATTTTTTAAATCACCACCCCCCCAAAAAAGAATGAGCAGACCATTGTGAACCCCAGATTTCCAGGGCTACCTTCTGTTTTTGCTTTTGCAGCACGGCCTCCAGAGTTTCCAGTTGAAACTGCCTTTGCTGCCTTTCTTTCTTCAGCTTGTCCAGCTGTCCTTCGAGCTCTTGGATTTTCTGAAGAGCTCTGGTGGGCAGGCCTTCTTTCCATTCTTCCACCACCCAGCTCATTTTGCTTTTATTTGCCATTCAAATATTTGTAAATAAAGTGAAAAAAAGCAGGCCGTTAGTCTTACTGTAGTACAAGAACACTGAAAAGTCTCAGAGACTAATGAGTCTATAGAACCATTGCCAACATCAAGTTTGAAAACTCCTTATTTCAAATAATAACGAAGCATGCGTAACACCTGTCTTCCCATCCTCTGAAAGGTGACTACCAATAACACTGATCGGAAGTATACCATATGCTTGTTTGGCATTCTATTGCTTTCTGTTTTTCTTATTTCCCACTTTTAGAGGGCTACATCCTCTCGACTGATCAGTTTGTTTCCATTATACAAAACACGACTATTTTGCCACTAGGTTTCTGGTGAAGGCGGTCCTATAAACAGATAAAATACACAAGCTATTTTGCAAATACTCTTCTTTCCCCTCTTCGCACCCTTAATTCCCACTGCCTTTTTGCTGCTCTTCCTCTGGGAGGTACACAACCTGGTCACGGTCTCTCATGACACAGGAACCACCTCACCTTCCAGCAGTTCTCAATTGTTGAATTAACGCACGAACGGACAAAGCCATTACTACGATTAGCACTAAAATCACTGCAAAATGCAGTCAAGTCAGTCTCCACACAGATATTGACCAGGAAACAGGCACATATCCTCAGTGATCCAAATCCCAGCTCGGTTGCCTACAAGATCTGTGACCTTGGGCATGCTATTCAACTGCTCTGCCCCTTGGTTTCCTCATTTTCACAATGGGGATAATTATGGTGGCAACTCCCTAAAAAGCAGGGGTGTCACACTCCTTTTCACCAGGGCCCACATCAACCTTGTGGATGCCTTCAAAGGGCCGAATGTAATTTTAGGACTATATAAATGTAACTACTCCTTAACAGTTAAACGAGAGATCAGCGCTGCTGCTGGTAGACACAAGGTGCTGGACCACATAAAACAAGGTGGAGGGCCGGGTTCGGCCCCTGGGCCTTGTGTTTGCCACCAGTGAGCTAAAGCCTCAGAACACTTTTCCATTTCTCTATTTCAACCGATGGCACCAAGAGGCAAGTGATGTACCACCTCCTTCCTCGGCCACGTCTTAGGATGTTTAAATCAGCTGGGAGAAAAAGCAAGGCAACTATTCCACATTCATTAACCTTTCACACTGAAGTCAGAAAAGAGCACTCATTTTCCAGTTATTTTGGCAATGGGGGTGAGAATGAAGTCTACAACGCTGTTAGGGGTTCGTTTCAAATGAGTTTATCAGTGAAATTTGTTACCAGCACAACTAATAAATAGTAGATGAAAGTACCAAGAATCATAAAAAAGATTCTCCATTATTAAGAGAGAGAAGCAAAGGTTTGGGAACACGATTTATTTATCAAGCTTTAGAAAGCTGTGTATTCTCTGCTAGTTTAATTGTTTTTCTCCCAGATGTCAGTTCTTTGAACACAGCACTTGAACTCCACTCTCATTTGCCCCCCAGAATTCCTGAAGGACGGCGTCTCACTCCTCTCCACCGACAAGAGGCAATTTACAACGTATCTACCCATATCTTGCTCATTCAGGGATGACCATATGTACCCCAGAGATACACACTGTAACTGACCTCAAGAATTTCAGTGAATAAAGTCACTGAAATTATTACATCGAGATGCTATAGCCAACAAAATATATAAAGGAGAGATTTAGACAGATACAAGATGAGCTTAGGAAATTGACAAGGAAGACCAGCAAATTGAATGCTTTTCCATTTCACAACTGAAGATACAGTTAGAAAAAAGTGGTTAAAGCAATTACTAGACCCAAGCTCATTTTGAATTAGAGCAGATTAAGGCATAAGAATCCGTATGGAGCCACTGGGGAAAAAAAGAGCCAAAAAATATATAAACCTAAAAAAGTAAGATGTAAGGGACAAAGGATGGGGCGGGGCACGGGGGCGTGGTGAAGAAAAGCCCTGGAGGTTAAGGCTCCCCCAAAGAGGGTTTACAGGACGTTCGTCCTTTCCATAAAATACCCTTCCTATCCCAGATACAGTGAGAACACTTCTCACGCGCTAATCACCCAACCGCGTCAAGTGCCCCAGGAATCTCTCCTGCTACGTGCGACTGTCTGACCACGCCCCCCTCCCCCCAGACACTGCAGGCCAGTTTTCACGCTTCCCCTTCCTCAGAATCCCCCCTCTCCGCCACGAAACCCGAGTTCCTGCCTACAGTGCCAAGGCTGAGCCTGAGCATGAAAACCTGCCCGTTCCTCCAGGACACGCTCAAGGATAGGACTCGGCTGGTCAATCCTGGGTCCTCATAATAGAGCAGACACAGGCGCACAGGTGCGTCCGAATAAATAAAAGGAAAGGCAACAGAGAAATGCCCTCGCGACTAACAGCACACCCACCCGCCGCCACCCAGACCAAAACCCAAGCTTGCGTCTCCTCCAAACACCAAAGGACCTAGGTCCACATTTCCAATAGGAGCCACTGGTTCCTGTTACGGGAAATAGCTGCTGATCTCCAGTTCTTTGGCCTTACAAACTAGGAAACTGATCTCCAAAGTGCGAGTTCATGACCCAGCAGGCTCTCGGGACACTAGCGCGAGCACGGTCTCGAGACACTAGCGGTAGCACAGCTTTACCGGGACCGGATTCTACAGTCGGGTCAGGTAGGAGGGGGCGGTCAGGGAGCGCAATCCCGCAGGCGTCCCCTGCCAGTAACATCCGGCACAAGGCCAGCGACTCCCCCACGCCCGCCGCGGTAGCGAGACCCACGCAGAACGCTCACCCTGTCGGCCCAAAAAGAAACACTCTCCTCAAAGGGTCGGATTCCGGTGCAGCCTCCGAGACTGGGAGATCCTTTCCCAACTCAAACAGCCCGCAGCCGCCTCCCGTTTTCCTCGCGCCGGCTTCGCCGTAGACCAACGCAGCTTGCAAACCTACCGTGGTTGCTATAAGCAACGGTGGGCCAATCCGCTTTCGCGCACTCGCGCTGCCGCCTTTGATTGGTCATTTCAAACGAAATTAAAAGTCAAGCCCTAACCAAGACGTGCTCACGCTCAACCTCGATGATTTTTTTGTTTCGGGGGTGGGGCAGAGGCGGAGACTACGTGTTTTACTCGAAGGAAATTTTGAACTGCTTTTTTCGCAAAAAACTGAGGCAGCGGGGCCTGTGATTAGGAGGGTGTGGTCTAGCGCCTGCAGCCTGTGAGAGAGTGCTCTCTGGTGAAAACGCTTAATACTCGGCATACATTTCCACTTATTTATTAAATATATAATTTAGGGCATAGATACTTGGTGCTATGCTCGCCACGCATTCTTCATCCAGGGTCATTCTTAACAATTATTTCACGTAAGTCTTATTTTATTTAAAAGTTAACTAAGACACACAGAAGCTATGTAATTTGTTGTTGAACCTATATGATTTTGAACCTGCATGATATTGAACATGCAGGACCTCTTAAGTACTGTCCTCTTATTGATCATTTTATTTTCTTTCCACCTTCGAACCCCGCCCCCTCTGCTGTTGCTAAGACCCCCTACCGATCCAATTCGAAGGAGTGATTCGGGACCCTTGTTAGCTGGGACTCCACAGGAGGACTTTGTAGCCAGAAGAATCTCCAAAATGATGCCATCTCTCACTTTTGAAAGAGTGCTGTTTCGTGTGTGTCCGTGTACTTGTTTTATTTCCTTATGCAACTTGAAAGAAGCTTCTAAAGGCAGGAGCAAAACAATGAATTGTGACATCAGTAGATCTCCAATGCTGTTCTTCAATAGTTTCCCAAGTTTGTGTAAACCTTTCCTTAGACTGCTAGACAAGCCATACTGCTCCTTGCCCCTCAGTGAAATTCTGCTCTGTGAGAGCCCAGTTCAAATGCACTTCCTTCAGAAAACCTCCCTATTCTTACCCACCTCTTAGGAACAATTATGGCCTGGAAAGAGAATGCTCACATGTTAGCTCCATATGCCTGGCTTCGCCACCATGCTCAAGTATTCCTATAGAGTAAACCTGTTTTAAACCATCCTTGTGAACTGGTAACTCCCTCCAGTTTATACACATTAATTTAAAACTAAGACCATCTGGGGAGGTAAAACGACCACCTGGAGGAAAGCCTTGTTCTCCATTCTACTTGAATTCAGAAGGAAAGCGGAGGGAGCAGGTAGGGGCAAAGAACTTGTATTGTTCCCTGTCATGGTCAGTCTAGTATGTGGTCATTCTGGGATTTGTACCAAACTGTGTCTCCAACACCAATTACAATTGCACTGCTTCCCAGAGGAATCACCTGACTATTTATTAGCTGCCTGAGGATAAGAGAAAGAGCAAGATGTGCACTAGAGAAGTGTCAAGGTTTGAATGAGACACTTACATTTACTATCATACATTCATTTGTTTAGCAGTTACAGCCACTCTGGAGCCAAGACTTGTGTGTGCTGTATACGAGGCGGTGAAGAAATACATTCCTGCCTTGATCAAGGGAATCATGATATGGACACTGTTCCAGGGACTTTTGTGATATTTCTGCACTTCAGTTGTATGGTTCCCTCTCCCATCTCTATTTTCCCCAAGTTTTTAAGTTTTATAGTTTTCATTTAGGGACTGAGGGGGGTGAGGCCTTTCCAGCCCAATGCACATGTCTATTGAGAGTCCATTTTTGGCTCCCTGCCCTGCCCTTCCAATTCCCTGCCTCACTGAGCCAATCTACCCTCTCTGGACTGCTCATCTACCATCTCCACTTTTTTACCTATGAATCTCTGCTCTTTGGTTGCAGCACCAGGCAAATAAATTAGACCAGCTGATACTGGCCAAGGATGAGGGAGTCTCGAATGGGTGGTGGAGCAGAGAGTCGATGCATACATGAGTCGGGACTTCAGAACCAGTTGTCACAGCGGGGACCAGAGTTTCTTATTCTACTCCTCTCCTGGACAAAGTCTTTTTTCAGAGATCGTGGCCACCCGGTTGGAGGTACAATGACAGTGAACTTACTAAGAGGACAAGTGGTTCTGAGCAGGGTTAGGTGTGGTGTATAATAAGTTCTTCTATGACTTCCCCTTGGTCCACCTTGACTGCAGCCACAGGTGTGGGAGGTACATAGTTCTGTGTGGGCTCAGACTTTTTCCACCTTGAGTACAAGCCATGGACCACTGCAGTTCTCTCTCCTAGGACTTTCTCTGAAGCTGAGGGAGCCTGCTATGCCAGTGCACAAGAACAGCCAGGACCGACCTTTGAAGACAAGGTGATCTTCCAGGGCCAATCTTCAGGAAATGTGGTCAGTGGATAAATATGTGAATCAGGTTGCATGTTTCACGTGGGCAATCCTGAGAGATCCTGGAAGATTCAAACCCATGGCCCCTACTGCAACAACTGTGAAATTGCATGCTTTTCCTCCCTTCCTCTCTCACTGTCCCTTCTCCCCACTTGGCTTCCTGGGATCATCACCCAGAGAAACTTCCATCCATCATTATCTCATTTCTGCTTGGGGAGAGCTCAAACTCTTCAGAAGGTGACATAACATGGGAGTTTTTATTTTCAGCAAGTGAAAAATGCAGCCTGGTCTCCCAAACGTATCAAAAGCTTCTGTTCTGTAGATAGAACCTCAGCCAGCTCATCTGTGATATTACAAGTGTAATTACAATGGAGTTGCCTGGTACCAGTGGGTTTAGACCAGGGGTCTCTGCTAGACGAAGGTCATGCTGGTTCTGTGCATGTCTGGACTTGTTTCAACTGAAAAAAAAACATGAAGTTCACACATTCTTTGGGAGAAGATATACAAACCTTGCTATTAAGGGACTTTTATGTCCCTAGGAAACAAAGGTGTGGGGGTCAATATTACACATTCAACATATTGGTAGGATTTAAGTAAAGTTGATTGCAAAAAATAAATATTTAGCATCTTGGTATGTTTTAAGTAAATTGATCCCAATCTTACGGACAAACTCAGGGATAGGAACCCACAAGAAAAAGGACCTGAAACTTTTCAAAAGTTGTTTCTATTCGCACCACTAGGTGGTTCCCTACACCTTGGAAAATCTTGCAAAGTAACTGCTGACCCACAAACCCTGATTTGCTACATTCTCTTTTCTGTCCCCCTCTGTCTCTTCCCTCAGTGTATCTAATGTTTTTTTTTTAATATTTTATTTATTTACTTTTAGAGAGAGGGGAAGGGAAGGAGAGAGGGAGAGAAACATCAATGTGTGGTTGCCTCTCGTGAGTCCCCTGCTGGGAACTGGCCTGCAACCCAGGCATGTGCCCTGACTGGGAATCGAACCGCGATACTCTGGTTCGCAGGCCCGCGCTCAATCCACTGAGCTATGCCAGCCAGGGCCTAATGTTTTCATTTACTCTCTTTTTCAAGTAACATTTGCTTGTTTAAAGTAAAAGAAAACAACAGAAAAATAATGATCCATAATGCTACTGCTTAAATAATCTTTTTTTATTAACCAAATAAAAAAATAATAACACATGCACATGATAGAAATTCCAAACATTCAAGAAAGTTATAAAGATGAATTTGGAGAAGGAGAATGAACACTGGACATCTGCTAGACTAAAATCTTCATTTTGTAGCTGAGGTCAGTGAGATGGAGATATTTCCAAAAATTCACACAAGTTACTGGCAAAAAAAAAATGCAAATAAAGAAAACAGTTTAAACAGATAAAACCTCATAATTCTGGAATCAATCACCTTATAGAAAATTCAAAAAATGTAAAAAAAAAGTTCTTACACATTCTTGCAATAGTAATTTTTATGAATAAAGTGAAATTATTTATACAATTTTAAATTTTCAGTAGCGTTTCTTAGAAAACAAAATGCTTACCTGGTGATTACTACTTCCCCAATATTGAGATCAATATTAATGATATTTTCTATTCCACTGCTAGAAACCTGAAGCTCAAAAAAAAAAGAAAGTGGCTAGTACAGGTCCGAATTTCCAAAACAACAATAAAAAGCCACAAGTCAATTTCCCAACTTGCAAGACAAGCTTGCTCTGGAGATAACAGCATTATTATGACGTGACTGAGTTCAACTGTTCTCCAGCACATTTTCAGTAATAGTTTTGTTCCGGGAGTCAAGTTAACCGTGAAGGGAAGTGAATGATTCTCCCAACCTCTGTGATCGGGTATTTCACACTGCGGAATAAAAGCTGAAGAAATCCCCTAAAGCAGGAATAAAACTCGAGTGTCCCTAAGAATATCACAGCTTTTCTACAGTGAAAAATTTGAGTCTGTACCTAGTTCTGATTTAAAGCGTTGGGGGAGTACAGAAATCCATTGATGAAGCCCGCCTGTGTCAACTGCTAAGGTGAATACACTTCCCAGTTTACCTCTGTTGTCCTGGTATCGTCTGTTTTAATGTTTCCCAGAGTTGTTGTTGTTGCTGCCACTATAAGAATAATATTCTTTTAACAGACTATCATTACTAATAGTTGTATTAAAAATAGCTTAAGATGGGTTTGGCAGGTCCCTTTGTACTTCTACCTCCGGCCATGGTCTTCTCTAGTAGTGGGTGAGATACCGCTACAGTAAACAGAGACGTGAAACAAGTGGTTAAATCAGAGATAACCCCTCTCACTACTTCAAAACCTTTCTTGATGTAGGAAACAAACTCCTCCACTTTAAGGGGCGCATACAGGAGACTGGCTGATAAAGTGTGACTGCATATAGGTACATTCGGACCACTAACTTCTGGTCCCAAGAAAAGTGGGAGCCGTGTTTGTTAACTGCTGCCCCTAGTGACCCTGTGGGGTAAGAGTCAGCTGTGCCTTAGTCCTGACTGGGGGCCTTGCCATTGGCCATTGGGCTGTAGGCAGGCCAGTCAGTGAGACCATGGTGAGATGTGGAAAGTAACAAATGTGGTGAATGTGAAATAAATGTGGGAAGTGGGCATTCAGCATGGCTGCCACAAAGCTTATAT